ACTGACTGGGCGCCAAGAAGGTGGGGTTGCCTCTCTTCAGGGTAGTACCAGGGCTGGAACTTCCTGCTGCAGAGCTGAGGCTTCTGCTCTGTGTGGCTGCCTGCACTGAAGCCTCAGTCCGATGGCAGGAACAGGCAGAACACATACCCTCTGTCCCCAGACCCCGGGTCTAGCTCTGCCCTTAGAATCTGAGCAGCTCTCCTTTCACCTTAGAGTTGAGTGCTTCTTGCAGCACAGAGCTGTTGTTCAGGGTCTGTTGGGATACACTTCCTGCCCCTGCCTTCTCGCTCTGTTGTAAACTGAGCCCCCCACAATTCACCCCTCACTCTGTCCTGCAAGGGAAAAGAAAGCATTGTCATTGTCATCTTTCCTTGGGATGGACACTTAGGCGTTTTCAGTGGAATAGCAGCAAAGCGGGGTTCGGGCCCAAGCTGGGCGTTCAGATTTGTCGCTACAGCCGGCGGGAGGAATCTGTCTGGGCTCCTGCCGTGGGGAATGGCCAGGCCAAGGCTGAACTCCTCTGTCCGATCTGAAGGAAGGCAGGGACGTTAGCCTGCCCAGTTCCTGCACTCTGCTAGGCTCCCGCACAGTGACAGCACCTCACCACCACTTTTAAGTACGGTTCCTTTGGTATATCCATTTTAGATGAGGAATCTGAACTTCAGAGAAGTTAAATAAGTTGCTCATGAGGGGCAGAGCTGGCGTTTAAATCCAGGTCTGCCTGGCTCAAAGTTTGAGTTCTTTCTACTTTACCACCTCTTCGAGAGATTCAGTAGATACCAGCCATGTCTCTACCTGGCTTTACCGGAAGGATTGCAGCAGCTTCACCTCTGTGTCTCTCCGTAAACTAACATCAACTACATTTAAGTGAAAGGGAGTCTGCCTTTGTGCTCTTGCCACTTTTCTTCTCTGATAAAAGATTCAAGAAACTCAGTGCTCATGATAAGTCTTACTCCTGTCATGGGTGGGAGAGGTTATTCCAAGAGAATGCAAAGGAGGACAGTGCTTAACTGAGTTCCAGTTGTGTGGTTTCAGCTGCAGTTAGGGGGAGGTGGTTTGGGGCAGCACCCCTCCCAGCCCTCACCCTGGTGACCACTGGTCTGACCTTACCTGAGACCCCTCCCCGCCAAATACTTCCTTCCCAATAAAAACAAATCAAAAATGCCTGAAAAGCAAAATTTAAAGCGTAGTTGGTAAGAGAAAATTCAGGAAGGGCAGTGGGGCAGAGCCCTGTGACCCGAAACCCTAAGGATGGTGGTGCGGGGTACAGCCAGAGCAGGGTCAGTGAAGGCAGAGCGGTGGCCAAGGCTGAGGCCCTCTTCCTGCCCCGGGGCAGCCTCTGCTTGTGGGAGTGGGCCACAGCCCCCCATGCCCCTGTTTTCCCCTCAGTGGTGCCAGCAACTTGAGCTCCTCCAGGCCTCTGGCCCTGCCTTGCTCGAGCCTTCAGCCAGGCACACAGCACCTCAGGTGTGCTCTGCTCACCTGGTGCTGCTGCCACTCGAGGGCAAGAGACAGGGCATCTCTCCTTTCTGCCTCCATGGAGATGACTTCTCCCAGCCCTGGTTGGGCTCAGGCAGCAGTGAGGCCCAGACCCCACCATGACACTTCATTGGGGCCTGATCTCCCCCTCGATTTTGAGACCTTGATGCACCTGAGGCAGAGACGGCCTGCCTGCTGTTTTTAGGGTACACTTGTGAGGATTTTGGATTCAACCTGTAGTTCTCTGGCCTTTGGCCTGGGAGTCTGTCGGCCAGCCACTATCCTTCAAGGCAGCTGTGTCGCTGGGGACATTCAGATTGGTTTTCTTTAGCGAGAGCTTGCTTTTTACACAGTCTAGGTGAGAGAGGTAATATGTACCCTCCGAGGCGGGGGGTCCCTTCTAGGAACCTTCTCCCAAGGAGGCCTGGACTACCTGTGTCTGGGAGGACAGGGCTTCCCGGAGAGGAGGGATAGTGCTGAGCAAACCCAGTGCACGTTGTCCCCTGGCAGTGTTGGAAAGTTCCTGGGTAAGCTAGTACTTAAGTGGAAGGGACAGCAGGAGGATTGGCAGGACTAGAAGGGGAGCCAAGCCTGCTCTCCTGGGCTCTTCTTTTCCCAACCAACCCAGCTGGGCCACCCTCTGTGGGTTGGAGGGGCCCTGGCAGGTTGGGAGCCCCTCCACCCAGCCCCACCCGAGGGAAAAGCTACAGCCAGCTCCTCACTCTGGCTTTAAAGCATGACTCACACATGCTCTCCTCAGATTGCAGTGCTGAGACCCCAGCCCCTCCTCAGGATTTCAAGTGGCTGAGTGACTTCGCAGCCGCCTGAGGCACTGCAGGAAAGCTAAGAGTTGTTTTGCAGTGTGCTTTTGATGGCCTTGGGTGTTTCTAGCGGGTGACGGGATTTGGCAGATTCAAGAGAGGTTAGCAGGAGGCTCTTAAGCTTGATTTGGAAATGTGACTCGCACTCTGTGATTCAGAGGCTTCCCAGGATCTGTGCCCACCCCTTGGGAGGCAGTGGGTGTCCCTGAGGGACTGGAAAGCTGAATGGGAGGTTAAGGAGTGAGATGTCTACAGGGAACAGACTCTCAGGTTCTGGGGACAGGCTCCTGAATGTGGAAGATGTCTCTTCAAGGCATTGACTCTCCTTCCCACCTCTCCCTGCTTGAGACCTTTGTGTGTTGAGAGGGTGACTCTAAATGGAGCAGGTGTCCCAGGACCCAGGGACCATCCTCCACGCCCATGCAGTTGGCCTCCCAGCAAGCTGTGGGGGAGAGGTCATCCCCTGCTATGAACACTTCTACTAGCCAGGCCTGAAAGCACCTCCCTGTACTCTCTCTTTCCTATCCACCCCCTCTTGCTCTGTACTCGGTGTCCTTGTCCTCGAAGGCCACAAGCGCAGGTGATCTCAGCCTTGGCCCCTGGCCATTTGTAGGCCCAGCCCCTCTGGTAACTTGGGGCTTGTCAAGGGGCTTCAGCCCCTGCCCAGCTGTATGGTCTGTCCACTCATCCTCATCTTCAGGCCCCTTGGGAATGGGGGAGGGCCGAGCCTGAGCTTTCCTAGGAAATACAGATGTGCCTCTGCTGCTGCTCTGCTTGTGCCTCCACCCGCAGCACAGGGGAGTCCTGGGTTTGAGCAAAGGGCCTGTGGGTTATAAGCAATGGGATGCTTTTGAGAGTAAAAGGAGGCATTGGCACTAAGCATGCTGAGCAGACAGGAACGGGTGGTCACCCTCATTAGAAGCAGGAACAGTCTTACGGAGCCTAGCAGATGCCTGGGATTTTTTAGGAGCTCTCCGTCTGTGCTTCAGGAATGAATGGATTTGCCTTCCTTGACTCTGTCTTGCCTGGGGCCCGGTCTCTGAGCAGTGGCAGGTCCCCGCACGTGGCCAGAGCAAAGCCTGGCACACTGACTCTCCTTTCCAGTTTTCCTAGTCCTGTCTCAGGGCTGAGGGCTGCTCACACTACCCTCCGCCTGGTTTTCTGAGTACTCCTTCTCGACTAATGCAGCATGTCTCTGGAGAGAGCATGCCCAGTGATCCCAGGCACTGGCCCAAAGGCCACAGGAGCTAGCTGGGAAGGACTCAGGGATCCCTGGGAGCCCTCAGGCTTGGGACTTTCAGGGTTAAATCCTGGCCTAGCAGGGACTGCTTCCAGCTTCTCCGTGGAGTGAGTGTGAATAACAATAGCAGTGGGGAAATTAAGCTGAAAAGCCTGGGCCTGCTGGGTGGGGAGGGGTCACAGGGGTGCCTGGTGAGGGGCAGAGCCTTGTCTGGCACCTTACTTGGCAGCTTCTGTGCTTTGGTTTGAGGAGTAGGTAGGAGACAGCTCAGTAGTCTCTGAGTCTCAGTAGTCTCGGCCTCCCCACCCCTCTTAGTTCTTTATTGCCTTGGCCTTGCCAGCTTCCGGTGCACAGCCAGCTCTGGCCTCTTGCACTCAGAACTGGGGTCCAGGCTGCCCCAGGTGGATGTTGGGGGGCTTTTGCCAAGCTAAGTAAAGTTAGGGGGATGATGCTTGGTCATGGGTGTTTTCTGTCCGGGGCTCCAGCGTTCCTGAGGCTCCCCTCACCTCCCTCCACCCTGCCTTCTGCTTGGCATCTTGCCTGCCAAGAGGAACTAAGGAACAGGGCAGCCCATTTGTCACCTGTGTTAATTCTTCTCTTTAATACTTTCTTTTCCCAACTCTATGTGGCTGACAGGGGTTTAAATCTATATTGCGGGGTCCAGTGTGCAGTCCCTGTGTTTCCTGCACCCCCGGGAGTATGCTGACCCTAGCCTTCCTGATACCTTTTCCCCAGGTACTGGCACTCTTTGGGCTACTCTTCCTGGCATTTGAACCAAAGTGGGCCTGGCTCCTAGGGCTGCCTGAGATCTCCCTGTCCATGAGCTCCTCAAAGCAAGACCCTTCATAGGGATAGGGCTTTTCCAGCAAGACCCAGGTTATGGCTGTCCTGCTTTGTGTGCCAGGTAGGGAGTCCTCAGAGGCTGGATTTTGCCTCTTTCACAGCCCAGTAGGCAGGTTCCTCATCTCAGTTCCTTGACATCCATCTCCTTATCCTCTTGTGGCCAATCTTGGAAGCCCCATGTTGGGGGAGGAGGTTGGTGATACTTTGGTAATACTTTGAAGGAAAAGATGGGCTCCTACCACCCACTCCCCAATCCTGGCTCAGCATCTTCAGAGACTCCCCCTGTCCTGTGATGAGTACCTAGTTGGATATAGAGCTTTGCCACCAGCTCCTGTACCCTGACCCTGGGGTCTGCATTGTCCCTAGGCTCTCCAGGGGCTTGGTTCAGAGAGACCATAGGCTCAAAGGAGAGAGAAGGAACCGGTCCTTGCACGGATGGTGGTAGCCCGATTCCACTGGCCCATCACATTCTGGAAGGGGGATCCTGGAAAAATCCATATTGGAGATGGGGTAGGGATAGGCCAGAGTTCCTGCAGGTGGGGCTGGGTGGGCTGCAGTGGGGGAGAAAGCAGGCAGGGAGGGCTCCTCTCATTGCCTGCTTCTGCCCTGCAGGTTGGAAGTACTCCATGACACATACTCGGAGGAAGTCCCTTCCCATGCTGAATTCAGGCCCCACTGGCCACCGAGAGCCCCTGCAGATGGAAGACAGCAACATGGAGCAAGGGGCTGAGGGTGTGGAGCCAGGCATGCCTGAGAGCCCGGGGCACCCTGCAGGGCGCCGCAAGAACTACCCACTGCGTAAGCGCCCACTGGTTCCCGAGAAGCCCAAGGCCTGCAAAGTGCTGCTGACCCGCCTAGAGAATGTGGCCGGTCCCCAGAGTGCAGATGAAGCTGACGAGCTGCCCCCTGACCTGCCTAAGCCCCCCAGCCCAACCCCATCCAGCGAGGACCCTGGCCTCGCCCAGCCCCGCAAGCGGCGCCTGGCTTCCCTCAATGCCGAGGCCGTCAACAACCTGCTGCTGGAACGGGAGGACACCAGCAGCCTGGCAGGCGCCCGCCGCAGTCGAGGGGGAGACCCCCACCGCAGCCGGGACCGCGACCGGGCCGCTGGGGGCTGGTCTAATTCCAAGAAGCGGCCCCGGCTGGCGGACCTCGGAGGAGGAAGTCGAGACCTGTCCCCAGAGGCAGCACCGGATGAAGGTGCCCGCCGAGATGGAGACCCAGCTCCCAAGAGACTGGCTAGCCTCAATGCAGCTGCCTTCCTGAAGCTGAGCCAGGAGCGGGAGCTACCCCTACGGCCGCCTCGTGCCCACGCAGAAGCAGATGGGCGCTCCACTGAGCCCCTGGCACCCAAGGCCCTGAGGCCAAAGTGGGCCAAAGTGAATACCAAGAACTATTTCAAGGCTCGGCAGGGGACTGGCTCTGCGGAGGCTACAGGGCCACCTGGCTGGCAAGGGCGCCCTGATGAGCCATGGCCATCTGCCACACCTCGTGGGTCATCCGGCCAGCCACCTTACCAACCCCTGAGCAAGGCCCTGGAGAGCCCCTTGCGGCTGCGCCCCCACCTGCCCCTACTGATGGGTGGGCAAGCAGCCCTGAAGCCAGAGCCTGGGCGCCCAGGCGAGGAGTCACCTGCCCCCAAGCAGGAACTGCATCAGCCTTCTTTCCCCACACCTCAGCTGTCCCCCCTGCCGATGCCTGGCAACCCTGCCGACTACAGTGGCCTGTGTGTTAGGCCTGAGCTCCCTGCAGGCAACTTTTACCTGTACTGTGGCCAAGATGGGCTGCAGTGTGGGGGCTACTCCCCCTGCCCCATGCTCCCAGAGGGCAAGCTGTCCCCAATAGCTGCACCTAACGAGGGGCTCCTCCTGGCCCCGAGCTCAGTGCCCTCAGGCACCCCTTTTCAGCACCCTCCCTGGGGCTCCTCTCGCTACTGCTCTAGCGAGGACACTGGAGTAAATGGCTACAGCATCTGTGGAGTGTTGCCCCTGTCCCTCACCCACGTTGGAACTACCTGTGGTGGCTGCCCCTACAAAATGCCTTTTGCAGCAGGTAAGCCTTCCTAGGGGTGGGATATCCTGAGAAGCCTCTGAGATGTGGCATGCTGGGAAGGTGGGCTGTGGTTCTGTGCAGGAGCCCGCCCTGAGGGTCTAGCTGCTACCTGGAAGGTAGGGGGCTTTGAGAAGGTAGGACTCACCTAATCTGCCCCAAGCCTAGGAGCATACCCAGGAAGGGGGCCCCATGTTTAGTTCTTAACAGGGTTTTCGCCCAGCTGTTAGGGAGATTTCTTGGCCTGGCATGTAGATAGCATTGTGGTGGTGGAGGGTGCAGGAGGGCCTCCCCTCCCTCCTCATCGGGATACCCATTCATTCTTAGACTCTTAGTAGCAAGTAGTAGATATTGAAATTAGGGCTTTTACCAAGTAGTTCTCATACTCCTTCTGTTCTCCTCGAGGAAAGCTAGAATTCCTTACTTTCCAGAAGCCAATACCATCTCCATGCAGGCAGAGTTCAGCATTCACAGGAAGGGTGATAGGTACCAGGCTCAGGAGGCAAGCAGTTGGGTAGCTTTGCCCTGGCTCTACAGGCCTTGAAAGAGAAGAGGTACCGAGACTTATTTTAGCATCACCTTGCTAGGTGTGGGCACACCCTGAGAACACACAGGCCAAGTTCACTGGCGTAGATGGGATGATGTCAGGGCCCACAGCCTTAGTGTCTGCCTTCCTAACAAGACCCAGACAGCTAAAAAGCTCTTGCTCCAGCTAATAGGACAGCCCCAGAGTCATTTCTGTTCCCCTAGACTGGTAGGGATATTCTCAACTGCCTCTCCAGGACCCCTCCCCAGCTCCTGGGTGGAAATGAGATGACCAGAGTGACCCTGGCCAGCAGTTCTGCCGTGTTGCTGGGGAGGTGAGGGCTGGGCCTTCCCAGAGCTCTCCGTTCCCCCACCTCTCTTATAGGGGGTCTATAAAACAACTTTATAGATCAGTTGGCTCTGGACAGACTGGTTGTTTCAGGTTCCGGCGTGAGTTAGAGCTCTAAGAAATGGGAAAAGGCTTTTTCTTGAGCTTTTCCTTCTCCTTTATACCACTCCTCAAGTCCAGACCCTAACCTCCTCGCCCTAATAATAAGGACACCAGTAAACACCATGTGCCGGAGACTGTTCTAAGTGGTTTACATATGGGAGGCTGCTTGCCATGTAATTGAGCACAGACCCTAGAGCCAGACAGCCTTGAGTGAAATGTTCTTCCCCACGTCCTTAGCCACATGACTGCGGGACAAGTCAGTAACTGCTCTCAGCTTTCTTAACTGTAAAATGGGGATAGTGGTACCTACCTCATAGGGTTGTTGTAAGGATGAAATGAGTAATGTTCATAAGAAAAACAGCCAGTTCTGAACATGTGTGGTATTTGTAACTACTATTTATATTGCACTGAAGGGCAAAGTGACTTGCCTGAGGTCACACAGCTAGTAAGTGGCAGGTCCCAGGCTGTCTGACTCCAGAAACCCTACTCCTAAGCACTATGGAAGCCTTAGAGAAGTTTACATCAGAGCTAAAGATGTTTCCACTACCTCTTTCTTGAAGGCTAGAAGGGGAGGTAGAAATGTCTGCTGGCCAATCTCCAAGATTAGGAACTGCCCCACTCCTTGGATAATCACTCTGACAATCTACCATGAAGCCTCTGATCCTACCTGCCACCTCAATGGCCTTGGAGTGCAGTTAGAATTAAGACAGGAGCAGGTTCTGAAAGCGGGTGGTTGAGGAGGTTACTGCTTATACCATCCTGACCCACTCTCTCCTTTCCTAGAAGGCTGCAGGTCCCTAGGCCAGCTGGAATTTCCTCTCCCAGAAGCTGGACACCCTGCCTCACCTGCCCACCCCCTCCTGGGATGCCCTGTACCCAGCGTGCCACCTGCAGCAGAGCCTGTCCCCCATCTTCAGACACCCACCTCAGAGCCTCAAACAGTAGCCCGCGCATGCCCTCAGAGCGCCAAGCCTCCCAGCGGGTCCAAGTCAGGTCTGCGCACAGGCTCTGGCTGCAGGCACACTGCAAGGAGCAAGGCTGCCCGCAGGCCCAGCCACCCCAAGCAGCCACGTGTCCAGCGCCCACGCCCTCGCCGCCGCCGCCGCCGCCGCACTAATGGCTGGGTGCCTGTTGGGGCTGCCTGTGAGAAGGCCGTGTATGTCTTGGTGAGTGCCATCTCTTAGCTGTTGGGGAGAGGGAGGGTGGCAGTGGAGACACGGGACCTGCAGTGAGGGTGGGTCTCAGGAGCCACTGGCTCTCTAGCTACTCTGAGAGGCAATAAGGCTCCAGTTCACTTGTGCCCCAGGAGCCAGTCATGTTAGCCCGGCCTGCTCCCCAGCCCTACTGATCCTACTGGATGCCTGGGAAGGGCAAGGGACACACAGTCGCAGCTGGTGGCTGCCATATTTGTGACTGACTTGGGGCAGCGGTCCGAGTGTCTTCCTCTTTCATGCCTGCTCACTATCCTTCCATCCTGGATCATGAAGTGAAGGACTTTCATGAAAGTTTTTGGATAAGTTTGTATAGGGAAGTTGGGATGTGCAGAGAAAATTAGTGATAGAGAGACTGTCTGGGATGATGAAAAGAGCGTCAGCTACAATTGATCGAGCACCTCTTAGATGCCAGAACTGAGCTAAGCACTTTGCATGCATCATCCCCTTTAATCTTCACCCTACCCTAGCCTCTGTGGTATGTCATCTTCCTATAATTATCCCCATTTTACAGATGAGGAAGCGAGGCTTAGCCATAGATTAAATAACTTGCCGAAGGCAATGGTGGTTTAAGGGTTCAGACCCAGACTATCCCATTAGGAAGCTTGAGCATTTACCCAGTGCTGGGGGCTTGGAGTGGGAGGATCACCTGCAGGGTGTGGTGGTCAGCGCTCAGCCACAGAAGCTTCGGGCCACTTTCCCACCCCTGTTCCCATCTCCCATCCTTTCTCCAACCATGGGAATTCCCCACCCCCATCCTGTCCCTGAAAGCCAGGCTCAGGGAGAAGAGTCCAGCATGCAGGCATGCTTAGTGGTTTGACTACCCTGAGGACGTTATAGAGACCACATCGTCCCCTCCCTTCCTCCATCCTCACTCTGAGTATGGCCCTGCGAGCCTGTTTGTATCATTGGTTTCTTGCCTAGGATGAGCCGGAACCAGCCATCCGAAAGAGCTACCAGGCGGTAGAACGGCATGGAGAGACAATCCGAGTCCGGGACACTGTCCTCCTCAAGTCAGGCCCGCGAAAGACATCCACACCTTATGTGGCCAAGATCTCTGCCCTCTGGGAGAACCCTGAGTCAGGTACCCCTCCTTTTGACTGGGGACCAATGGGGGAACTGCCTTCCGCAGGACTATAGGCCCCAGAAAAGTCCCTGCCTGGAGTTTGACCTGGCACGAGTCTCCCCATGTTCCTGGCACAGAGCATGCTTCCACTCAGCTGGGGTCTTTCTGCTGCCGAGGGCTGCGGACAACCTTGTGGCTTGGGTTGGATCAGCTCATTAACTTTTCCAGCTAGCAGGGCCTGGGCACCTGTCCCCCCACCTCACCTGTCAATGCCTTCTCCCCCTTCTCCCTCCATGCCTAACAGCATTCCAGGCCATTGAATGCTTGGCCTGGGGCAGGGGATGTGGGTGGATGGAGCCTGCAGGATTGGCCCAGGCATTCAGGTTGGATGAGCCTCCAGGGCAGGCGGCCAGCCTGTCTGCCTGTGTGAGTAACTTGGACTGCCAGCCCAAACCATGACCACTTCTGTTGTCCCCTCAGGAGAGCTGATGATGAGCCTCCTGTGGTATTACAGACCTGAGCACTTACAGGGAGGTCGCAGTCCCAGCATGCACGAGGTGAGCTGCCTGCAGATAGGGCCGGGGTGGCAGAGGGAGAGGTGGTGGTATGGGGAGGGCAGCCATGGGCAGTCAAGTCCCTGGGTTTGTCACCTTGGACTCCAGATAACTTAGAGAAGGGCTTGGGGTTTAGCCTTTTATTCTGACATTGCCCCAGTTCATGTTTCAAAGGGAATAATAAGCTTTGTCTTAAAAGGGGAACAAAAAGGGAGCCCTTGAGGGCAGGGGGTGCCAGAATGGGAGAAGCAGGAGAGGTGAGGTGGAGCTGCACACCTGGCCCCATTTGGGGGTGTCTGCTTGATGAGAGGGGAAGAAAAGACTCCTCACGCCCTAGGCTCTGCACTAAGCCATGTGCTGAGAGAGGTAGCTGCCGTCTGGGTGTGGTCCGGGCTCACCTTTTATTTCGTTTCCCCTTGCAGGGACTTTTCATCTAACTGAGAAGACAGGGACCAATTCCTCTCTCCTCCCCTGGGCAGGAGTAGGGGCTCAGGAGGTCAGTGATAGTCAGGGGCTGCTCCTGAGAAGGACAGGACCTAGGAGATACGTAGGGGAAATGCCTGGGAGCAGTAGGTGAGGCGAATATACTTAGGCAGAATTTCCAGGGAAGCTCCCTGGCCTTCTGGGGTCACTAGCTGGAGTTATCTCAGGTCCGCAGTCCCAGCAGAGGGGCTAATGTCTGCCTTGCTCCAGGAGTTAGGTGCTTTCCGGCCCTGGTAACCAAACTCCACCTGCCTCCCCTTGAGCCTTTGCAGAATGAAGTCTTTGCGTCACGGCATCAGGACCAGAACAGTGTGGCCTGCATTGAGGAGAAGTGCTATGTGCTGACCTTTGCTGAGTACTGCAGGTGCGTGTACCCTGCACCCTCCAGCTGGCCTTTCCCCTCAGTTTCCCCAGGGCTGTTTGGGGGCTGCCTGGGATTCCCCTAGGGAACCTCATTCTGCTCTGGGCCTGATCTCACTCACTGGGCCTAATCTCCCAGAACTTTCTTCCTTATGGCCTGCCTCCACCATCTGATTTTTTTAGAAGAAAGAAGAAAAATTGTTGCCTCACTGCGGGAGAATGGTTGGAACAGAATTGGGGGGGTGACAGTACTGCCCTTGGAGAAAATCTGGGAGAATTGGCAGGTGATTGGAGGGAGGGTGGATCTGTACCTCAGTGACAGAGAAGATGGAGTGGCGGCTGGCAGAGCAGGCATTGCCCCCGTGACAGTGACAGGGGTGGAGGCAGCACCACCCCTTGGAGAACGGGGGAGTGTATCCCAGCTCTCTGGGCAGGATAGGGAAGGAATTGGTCTTCCTGCAAAGGTGGCTGGGGTAAAGGCAACGAATGGTATGTCACTGCAGATTCTGTGCCATGGCCAAGCGCCGAGGTGAGGGCCTCCCCAGCCGGAAGACAGCACTGGTGCCCCCCTCTGCAGACTACTCCACCCCGCCACACCGCACAGTGCCCGAGGACACGGACCCTGAGCTGGTGTTCCTTTGCCGCCATGTGTATGACTTCCGCCATGGCCGCATCCTCAAGAACCCCCAGTAGCCTCCTCACGCCCACACTGGGGCTCCCCACGGGCAGATGGGGCTTGGGGGAGGGGGCACTGCTTGAAGCACAGCACTTGGTTAAGGGGCCACAGGAGCCTGTGGTTGCTGGCCTGTGGTTCTCTTGGTGGGGGGAAGGTCAGGGGCCCCTATGGGTTCTGGGCCCTATGGGAGGGAAGGGGAGGCGGTGTATAAGAAAAGCATCAGAGCCCTCAGCTTGGCCCAGGGTACCTGTCTGTGGTCCCCTGGGTGGAGACTCAAAGAAGCAGTCTTCCCCGGGGCTGGGCCAAGCCTGAGGGACGTGGGGCCATTGGAGGGGAAGGGGTAGAAGGAGAGGCAAGATCCTTCAGGAACCAGGCCCAACAGGCCCTCTAGAGCCTCCCCCAAGCCCTCTAAGGGGGAATGGGAGCCAGCTTTACCTCACCCACTGTGACCCGCTGCTTCCCCTCTGCCTGGGACCAGGCTCTCCCAGATTCTAGCACAGCTCTGAGCTTGTTCCTTTGAGGCATAGAGAGCCAGAGTCTGGCTTCCAGAGCATAGACTTCCTCTTCCTGAACTCGAGGCCTTTCTCTGGCTTTCCTTCTTTGCCCTTGCAGTAGCCACTGGTGCTGGGACAAGTCTGCCCTGACAGTTGTAGGTGTGGCCCACTCATGGGAGTCAGTCTCCTGTCCACCTCCCAGAGAGGGCCACCCAGCAGGCCTGGCTTCCCAGAAAGTAAACTGATCAACGTGGGGTTTGTCACATCTGGGAGAGCAGATGGGTGCTGGGAGAGGGTGGGGGGCAGGGGACAAGGAAAATTGCTACCTGATTTATTGAAGATTTTTCCTCTTGCCTTACTCTTGGAGGTTCTAGGAAACCTCTTGCAGAACTTCACACATGACTCTTCAAGCCACACCCACCTGAAATCAAACCAAAGGAGTGCTGTGGCTCCCCTTGCCCTGCCACCCTTTACCTAGTCTTTTGTAGATTGCACTAATTTACATCCCAGCGGAGAATCAACACTGTATCAGTCCACAGACCTGCTGAGCTGCAGCCACTCACTCTAGGAGCTAAGGACCTGCATTTTCAGTTTGTTCCTGTTGCCCAGAGGCCCTGTTCTCACCTCATGCTGCTCCCCAGAGTAGATTAAGAGGCTCAGCCCCCTGTTGTCCTTGCCTGGACTAGGCCCTGGCCTTGGGACTCTTTGTGAGGGGGCTGGAGCAGCCTGGTTCTTTCCTATTTGTACCAAAGAGGAGCATGGTGGGGAGGGAGTGGAGTGCATTGTGGCTTGGTCCTGGCGCTGGGAACCTGCTAGCCGAGCACTTCCGCAAGGGCATACCCCCAGGGGCAGCAGCCAAAAAGGTCAGCAGTGGGTCCTCCCAGGGGCTGCGGAGGGAGGTGGACGTGAATCCTGACCTCTCCCCGGCAAACCCGCATGCCCTGTCCTTTCCCTTAGAAGATGACTTGCTCCTGATTGGTCATTAGGCTTGGGTACAGCCTGGAGGCTTCAGAGGTGAATTTATGCTTGGGAAGCCTGGTCCCAAACCCGAAGGGAAGGGACTTGGGTCTCCTTGTATTGAATAAGCTGTTTGGGGGGAGGTGTCTGTGTGGGAGGACAGGGCAGTCATTAAGAGAGGTTGGCAGAGTGGCAGCAGGGGCTCTGGAGAGCCAGCCTTGGAGCCTGCTCATTCCCAGGGTGCTGGGCCCTTGCTGCCAAGGAGCCCAGCCTCGCCCAGCAGGAGAGGAGATCAAGGCCCCTCCTCCCAGGAGGTAGGGGCTGCTGCCCAGAATTTAAATGCTTTTGAAATCTCTTAGATGTGGAAATATTTTTTCGAACCTGAAAATGCAGCTGGTAGAATTTCAATGGAAGCATAATCCATGTAAAATATATTTTAGTTGATATTTTGTAAAATGCACTTTTTGTGTGTGTCGATCTTGGTTTCCCAGATCTGTATTTCAGTGTTTACAAGGGAGGGAGCACCTTTCCTCACCTCCCTTTTGACAGAGATAGAAGTACTTCTTTAAGAAAAAAATAAATTTGAGAAATTGTATTGATTTAGAAAAGGATCATTTCCTGTGTGTCCTGTCATCTTTTGGTGTGTGGGTGTGGAGGGACTCACTGTTCTTATTTCCTGGGTCCCTCGTAAGCCTTGCAGCGCCTGTGCTCGCTGAGGCCAGTGAGCAAAGAGGGCTGGAAAGTAGGGGGAGAGGAGGGTGAGGAGAGTCGACAGAGGAAGTAGGAGCTTGGAGCTGGTTTCTTGACATGGTGGTGGCCACAGCTGCCTGTTTGTCCGTGTGAAATCCTCGGGTTGCCAGCCCTCACCTGGTCAGTGACCTGGGGACTGCAAGTGAAGATACCACCTCATCACCTTGGGGAACTGGCCAGCAGAACCTGTACTAGGGCCTTAGTGTCTTGTAACTGGCACTCCTTGCTTGCTGAGGGAACGAAGACCACATCATAGGCTAAGGGTTTGTGACCAGCTAGATCCTTGCCCCAGCCCAGTCCCAGCCCAGAAGCCTCAGTGTTGACCATGGTCAAGGTGGGGTGGCTCTAAGGTCATGGGGGTTCCTGGGAGGCAGAGCATGGCCACCAAAGCAAACCCTCTTCTGCATTTTGTTACAGACATCCGGTCATGGGGGCAGGTGCGTTTCCATAGAGGTTATTAGTGGCATGGACACCACCATGGACTTGCTATAGCACTGCCTTCGCTGTCCACAAGAGTCCCTTGAGTGATAGCCTATCCTCATTTTACAGACAGGAAACTGATACAGAGATAAGTACGCTGGCCAGGGGCTCCCCCAGAGTAAGACTGCCTCAACCCTGACTGCTGACACGGAAAACTGCCCTCGTACAGAAATGAGCACATGTGGCCAAATTATCAAAAACCTTTTTAAAGGCCTTTTTTCCTCTCCTAGTTTAAAAGATACACTTATTGGAGAAAAAAAAATGATCTCAGTAGAAAATGTGACTATCAGAAACTGCTACCAGAAGCAAGGAGCAGTGTGGTCAAGGCTAAACATTTACACAGACTTCTAACAGTGAGTGGGCATGTGGTGGCCTGAGGGTGCACCCCAGCATTCAGACTGGGATATGGGGAGCTGGAAGACCACAGGCTTCCCTCACCCGTCCTGTGTGCTCTCATGTTGCTGGGATTGGGGGGCATCCATGAAAGCTCTAGCGCTGTCTTGTCCCTCAGAACCCCCTCATCCTGAATTCATCTGATCAGTGGTAGCTCCATTTTCCCACTGGTATCTTCTATTCCTTTTCCATCATTCTTCAGTACAGCCAGCCCCGGCATCAGCTGCTTCCTCCCATCCATTCCACAACGTGCTCCATTAATCTGGGAAGGATCGTGGTTAGGAATTTAGGTTTTAGAGTCAGAACGACTGTAGTGAGGCTCAGCTTCCCTGAGCCTCTTTGTTACTTCAGCTGTAAGAGGGGAATGCCTTACTAAGGGAGATAATGAGTACAAAATACTTAGCAGGCGCCAGCCTCAGTACGCTTGGGCTCTACTCATTCGGCTACTGTGCTTCAGAGCCTTGCTGGCTCCCCACACCGCACAGTGAAGTCTGGGTACTTAGCTAGGCTCCCAGTTTAGATAGGTAAAGGCTGGCTACTGACGTCCAAAGCACTGGGCGGGGGCGGGGGCGGCGGGGGAGTTAGCCTGGTGCCGTTGAGCACACATTGGGCTCCAGGCAAGGAGACTGCTTGCCGGTTCCCTGCTGCTCTGTGCCCCCAGCTCCTCGCCCTTCAAAATGTGTGCTGGCCACACCAGCAGTCCTGAGGCACCATCTGGTCGTTGGTCCCTCCCCAGAGTGCCCCAGTTATCCCAGTGCTGCAGGCCTAGGGGAGAGAAGGCAGAGGAAGGGAGACTCCATTTCCAGACGTTTCGCGTTGCCTCGTCGATAAGTACTGTAGTCCCCAGGTATTGCTAAACCCTATGTCACCATGGAGACATCGGTCAGTGTGTGACAGTCCTGTCCCTCTTTCCTGGAGTGTCCAGGACCTACGGGGCCGAGGGGGGGCTAAAGGCAGCGAGAAAGAGCACACCGAGAACTCTAACAGAAAGCCCGGCCCCCGCACGCCTGGAGTGGCAGAGAGGGCTGTGGTCTTCCTGCCTCCAGACCCGCTGTCGGAGGAAGGGCTCGGCCAGGCCCGAGTTTGCGGCGAGCGGTAGGTGCGGGTCCTCATCGTCCAGCTCCCTGAGGGCACACGCTGAGCGACAGGGGGCCGCAGTCTTTTCTGCCTTCGAGGTCTCAGCAGCTTTTGTCCCCAAGCCCGGAGGACCGGGGCGGCCCTTGCTTAGGCGCCCTCTCCTGGGTAGGGGTCCGCGTGCGCCCTCCCCAGCCCGCTCCCCGTAGGGGTGCCCGCCCCTCTCCCCGCCCCCGGCGTGGGCCCGCCCCGCGCTTGTGTCACGGCTGGGCCGGGGGTGGAGAGCGGCCGGGCGGGACATCCGGCCCTGGTACCTCGCCGCGCCCGCCCGCCGCCCGCTCCAGCGCTGCAGCCCGGGAACCGGCCAGCCCCTCACGCGCCAGGGCCGCCCGCCAGTCCTCCCCTCCCCGCCTCCCTCTGCCGGCTCAAACCCTCTTCCCGCCCCCTGCCCGAGCCCGCCTCCCAGACAGCCCTCGGATCGGCCGGGCGGGCGCAGGCCCCCACCCCGGGAGCACCATGTTCCCTCGCCCGCTGACCCCGCTGGCGGCCCCAAATGGCGCCGAGCCCCTGGGCCGGGCGCTGAGGCGGTCCCCGCTGGGCAGGCCCCGGACCGGGCTCGGGGGGCAGCCCCTGCTGCTGCCGTCCATGCTGATGTTTGCGGTGATCGTGGCCTCCAGCGGGTTGCTGCTAATGATCGAGCGGGGCATCCTGGCCGAGATGAAGCCCCTTCCCCTACACCCTCTCAGCCGTGAGGGCGCAGCCTGGCGCGGGACAGTCCCCAAGCCTGGGAGGCTGTCCCTGAATGCTGGGGACTCAGACTTGCAAGTGCGGCAGGACGTCCGGAACCGGACTTTGCGGGCGGTGTGCGGACAGCCCGGCATGCCCCGGGACCCCTGGGATTTGCCGGTGGGGCAGCGGCGCACCCTGCTGCGCCACATCCTCGTAAGTGACCGCTACCGCTTCCTCTACTGCTACGTCCCCAAAGTGGCCTGCTCTAACTGGAAGCGGGTGCTGAAGGTGCTGGCGGGTGTCCTGGACAGCGTGGACGTCCGCCTCAAGATGGACCACCGCAGTGACCTGGTGTTCCTGGCGGACCTGCGGCCTGAGGAGATTCGCTACCGCCTGCAGCACTACTTCAAGTTCCTGTTTGTGCGGGACCCCTTGGAACGCCTCCTCTCTGCTTACCGCAACAAGTTTGGCGAGATCCGAGAGTACCAGCAGCGCTATGGGGCTGAGATCGTGAGGCGGTACAGGGCTGGAGCTGGACCCAGCCCTGCAGGGGACGATGTCACCTTCCCAGAGTTCCTGAGATACCTGGTGGATGAGGACCCTGAGCGCATGAATGAGCATTGGATGCCCGTGTACCACCTGTGCCAGCCTTGTGCGGTGCGCTATGACTTTGTGGGCTCCTATGAGAGGCTGGAGGCTGATGCCAACCAGGTGCTGGAGTGGGTGCAAGCACCACCCCATGTCCGATTCCCCGCTCGCCAGGCCTGGTACCGGCCAGCCAGCCCCGAAAGCCTGCACTACCACCTGTGCAGTGCCCCGCGGGCCCTGCTGCAGGACGTCCTGCCTAAGTATATCTTGGATTTCTCCCTCTTTGCCTACCCACTGCCTAATGTCACCAGGGAGGCCTGTCACCAGTGACCTCGGGTGTAGGGCCAGCAGCTGTTGCGGCCTGGTTTTAACAACACCAGCTTCTCGTGCTTCTTCCTGCCATTCAGAGAAACCCTGGCTCTGGGGCTTGGGGCTTCTCCAGATGCCTGGATGGCAGGGTCTACCCTCAGAAGTTCCTTGACCAGGGTGGGTGCCCACAGTGGCTGAGAGCACAGGGCTAGACAGGAGGCCTGCTGCTCCCCACTGGGGAGATCTCTTGGGGGCCTGTGTGATCCTTCTTGTCCTGGCGGGGCCAGACGCCAGTTTGCCAGGGAAGCAGCACATCTGATCTAAAGACTGGCTCCCAGCCCCCAGCTGCTGGGATTGTGCAGTCTGCTTGGTCCACCTTAATTTAACCTGTGGCCAAACCCAGAGGTGGCAGCAGCCAAGAGCAAGCATGACCAGAGCCAGGAACCCTGTGGCTCTGATCTCCCATTTATCCACCGCATATGCCTCAGGACTGGAGTGAGCAGTTGTGCCTTATAAATGACTTTTGTGCTTTCTGCTCCAGACTCAGAATTTCCTACACTGCTAGGTTCTTTCCGTTTTTCCAAGGAAAGGAAAACTGAAGCAGGGTCCTTGCCTGGTAGCTCTAGGACCCAGCCCTGCAGGCATCCAAAGACCCCTGTGCCCAGTCTCTTCCTAGGGCTCTGGGAACCTCCTCTCTAATCCTCCCTTCCTACCCCAGAGGCCTTTGAAATTGTGACTGTGGCTGGTATGTCTGGCTGCCACTTTTCTGATGCATTTATTTAAAATTTATACTTTTTGATAGAACTCTTGTAAAGGCTTTGTTTTCCTAACAGCTGAATTTTTAATAAAGCTGTTTTGTATATAAAGTGAGCATCTCTGTGATTCCCCCTCTGAGGTCCTGTGGGTCCAGCAATCTAGATGTCTGTCTTCTCAGGGCGGGAGAGGGAGCTTACAGGTAGAGAAGGTAAGACAAAGTGTCACCTACTTCAGCTGGTTCAGTAGGCCATCGCCATGGAGCCTTTGGGGGCTTCTAATAGGCCATGCAAGATCACAGACTCAGATTCTGGGGTGTCACCAAAGGGCAAGCCCAGTTAGGAATGGCCCCAGGTCCAGAGAATACCTACATAGATTATTCCCTGAAGAAGGGGGTGGGTGGGAAACATGGGCTCCTCTTCCTCTTAGGCAGGAATACTTCTTGAGTGATGAGGTCCCCAGAGTGTTTTAAAATGAAAAAGGGGATTGGTGTGTGAGTAAGGGGAGGTTATTGCTGGCATTGAGCATTGGAAGGAAGGAAGGCGAGGAGGTTGAGTCAGGGGCAGGCTCTTGCTGACGTAGGTCCAGAGGAAGTTGTGGGAGGAATAGTCAGAGCAAGAGGACAGCCCTGTGTGGCCTGGTCCCCCACTGCTCTCTAGAGAGCCCAGGCCCCACAAGGGATGGCGAGCGGAGGGCTGGGCCTGCTGTGCCCTTGGGAGAGGGGCAAGGCCAGGGCTGGCCCTACCGAGTGGTCCATTTCGTATGCCCCCAGTGGGAACTACTCTACTTTAGGGGCCTGAGGCTGTGGTAAGAGGGGGGCCCAAGGGAGTGAGGGAAGGAGGTGCGGAGGGCCCCCTTGCAGGCACCACCTGTACCTAGCTTTGCTATTGATGAGATTTTGGAGAGGAAAACTAACCCCATTCCCAAATTTGGGGGAGGGACTTCTATGGGCACCCATGGCTCTGCCATGACTCAGGTCGTGTAGCTTCCAGGAGGCCTTACCTGATCCCCTATCTGGGTCCGATGACCTTCTTCAAGGTCCCCTTGGCTCTGGGGACTTTATCTAGACTGATCAAGACTCAGTTCTACTCCTCACCAGCCGCTTGACTACCTCTCTGAATCTCTCTTTTTCCACTATAGCATGGGAATAATAACGCCTGTCTTATGTGGATTGCTGCGGGATTGATGAAGACATAGCGGGTAAAAGAACCCATCCCAGCACCTGGCTTGATGGATGTTCTTTGAGAGGCTGGTTGAATACCTAATCCCTCAGAGGCCTGGGGGACAGGGGAGAATCCAGGACACTGTGTCCAGGCCAGCGCTGGAGACCCCAGCTGCCTCTGGCAGAGCCCCCTGGTTCACTTCCTCTTCCAATGAACCAGTCCTCTGGGCTTCTGGTCCCTCAGGAGCCCCTCCTGCATGCCACCTCTCCCTCTTCTTCCTTGCCCAGGACCTATAGCAGCTCCAGACCTATAGCGACCAGTGAGTCCCCTCACAAGGGCCCACAGCTTAGAACCCAGAGAATGCTGGGCCCAGCTGTTGTATTCGCCTCATCTCATTTAATCCTCATGACAGCCCAATGCCATAGGTGTTAGTTATCCTGTTTTACAGACATGGAAACTGGCACAGAGAGAGTAACCTGCCCAAAGTGTCCAACCGAGGTCTGTGTGCCTCCCAGATGGGAGGCAGGGAGGGAGGAAAGGAGAGCCAGAGAGCTCATGGAAGGTAGGGGTACAGAGAAGAGGGTATAGGAAGGTGAAGGTAGAGGGAGGGTAGGTGGGGTCTTAGGGGAGTTTGCAAACATTCTCCTTCCTCAGTTCTTCCTTTGCAAAGAATCCAGTTCAGCCCGGCTGACTTTTACCAGTCCCTGCCCTGGAGGAGTAGGGGGCACATGAAGTCCCCTGATGTGGTTAATTTATTGGCTACTCCTTCCAGGCAGAAAAGGGGTGCTGGGCCATAGAGCATCCTGACAGCCACAACTGGCCACCTGTGGCGTGGGGAGCAGGGTCTGAAGTGGGAAGTGGGGAGGAGGGCTGGTGAGACAAACTGCCGCCTACTGGCTCATTTTTATTTCCCTCCAGTCAGCCCCTGAGGAACTTACTTTGTCATCCACCCCTCCTTTCAGGACTGCTTAAAAAAAGCTGCCAAGGAGGTGGTGTAGAGTCATGGGATCCAGCCAGCCCAGGTGGGATCTGCTTTGTACTAGGCACCCAGGCCAGAGCGGGAGGTGCTGGAGGCTCTGGGCACCACGGGCCAGGGCAGTGGCATTCCCGGGGATGGACAGCTGGACTGTGTCTTCTTGGAATTCCTCCTTTTCACTGGGTCTGCTCTGATAATGACACAGAGCCAAGCCCTACGCTACTGCCTAGCCCCTAAAAAGACAAGGGGCCCCTTTAGAAGTTTCTGAATCCTGGACAACCCAGGTCCCCTGAGCACAGAGGGGTGGGGCTGGTGGTTATTTAACTTCTCTCCCACCTCTGTCACCACCCCGGAGGAGCATCACACCACCCAGGCCGCCTGCAGGAAACAATAAGGGCACAGTGGAGCAGCTGAGCCACGCACCCTGGTGAACATACAACCCTCACCTCTCCCAGGGGCCCATCACTAGAGGGGGCCAAGCTCCCAAGCCCCCTCCCAGGACGGATCCAGTGCCTTTGTTTTTGAACCAGCCACTGCCTGGCTCCAAGCGAGAGGAAGGCATTCTTCCTCTTCCTGAAGGGAAACACTAATAATTAACAATAGCTGCCTTGAATTGAGAGCACCTGTATGAGTACTTTACCTGCATTATCCTCTTCTTTCTTTTTTTTTTTTTTTGAGACAGAGTCTCACTGTCTTGCCTGGGCTAGAGTGCCGTGGCGTCATCATAGCTCACAGCAACCTCAAACTCCTGGGGTCAAGTGATCCTCCTGCCTCAGCCTCCTGAGTAGCTGGGACTACAGGCATGCGCCACCATGCCCGGCTAATTTTTTTCTATATATTTTTAGCTGTCCAATTAATTTCTTTCTATTTTTGGTAGAGACAGGGTCTCGCTCTTGCTCAGGCTGGTCTCGAACTCCTGAGCTCAAACGATCCGCCCGCCTCGGCCTCCCAGAGTGCTAAGATTACAGGCGTGAGCCACTGAGCCCGGCCAAGTCTCACTCTTTTTGACCAGGCTAGAGTGCCGTGGTGTCAGCCTAGCTCACAGCAACCTCAAACTCCTGGGCTCAAGTGATCCTCCTGCCTCAGCCTCCTGAGTAGCTGGGACTACAGGCATGTACCACCATGCCCAGCTAATTTTTTCTATTTTTAGTTGCCCAGCTAATTTTTTTTTCTATTTTTAGTAGAGATGGGGTCTTGTTCTTGCTTAGGTTGGTCCTGAACTACTGAGCTCAAACAATCCTCCCACCTCAGCCTCCCAGAGTGCTAGGAGTACAGATGTGAGCCACTGTGCCTGGCCGACATAATGGCCTTTCGAACAACCAGAACACAGCTGCTGGCCTAGCAAGAGCCTCTAGATATCTGGGGGATCCTGAACTGAACTCCCCAATGGCATCTGCGGGCTTTACAGCTAGACTACGGGCCCTGCCGTTCACCATGCTGTAATGTTCAGGATGTTTTCCCTGCAGTTTACCCAACTCGCTGCAGGTGGTGATTATGTTTGGTTTGAGTCTTTGTCACCAATTGGTGGATAGTAATGATCAGTTTTGTCCAGTTTCCCTCTCTCATAGGTCACATCCTTCAGCTGGGCGGGGAGAGCAGACTTACCCAGAAGTCAAGTCTCAATGCTGGTGTTGCGGATGCCCCAGGGGATATAGCCCAAGCTCCCTCAACTCCAGGGGGCAGCCTGAGAGGGACGGGAAGTTCCCCCAAAGAGAATGACCAGGGACCTGCATGTGTATGAGTGCCAGAGCGTCTGTAGCGTCCCTCGACTGGGCTCTTCAGCTGGCTGCTGCCAGATCCTGGCTGCAATGGGGGACTCGTTGGCAGAGGAGTCTCCACAAAGGCAAAGGGAGTCACCCGATCAGCCCTCACTTTGCCATTGTGAGGGGACGAGGAGGACCAGGTCAGCCCAGGTCATCCACTGCCACTCAACCCTCCAGCAGGAAAGCTGTGCCAGCCTGGGCCTTGGGGTGGGGATTTGGGGGGCAGAGAGAGATGGGGAGCTTCAGGAGCTCAGGGAGGAGGAGCCTGCGGTGCTATGCCAACAGCTGGTTTGCAGATGGAGAAAACCAGATATTCAGCCTCACGGCAGCCCAAGGAGCAGGAAACCATCGAGCATCCACCTGATTACTTCTCCATTCTCGGCCTGGAGAGATTGAGCTGCCCCTGGGACCCCAGCCAAACCCCAGAGTCCTCAGAGTCCAAGCACTGTGGCCAGAGTGGCCATCAGAGCAGAGGAGTCCACAGGGGAGAGGGTGGAGATAGGGCTGGGCCCTGCTAGTGCTGCCTGCAAGGGCCACAGGCTGCCTGGAGGAAGACACTTGAGGCGGCCCAAGAAGAACAGTGGGGTTGGCTGGGTGGGGGTTAGGGCTGGAGGGTGGGGCATTCCAGTTGAGGAGCTAAGCAGAGTTGGGGGTCAGTTGACCCCTGGCAGCACAGGCATCCTTCCCCCACTCCCACCCGTGAGAAGTTCTAATGAGCCTCTTCCACAGAAGCTGGTGGACACATGGCAGGCTAGTCCCCTGGAAGGCCCCCTGCCGTCTGAGTGCAAGTGTCTGGTAATGAGAAAGAGAGCTGTTCTGATAGATGAGGGATAGCGAGCTGACCTCACTATGCAGGAAAGCCAGAAAGGAAAAACCCACACCCTGTGCAACTTTTGAGGAGGGGTCTTTAATTTTTGACCACTGAGACTAGCCTCGGCCCAGGCACCCACAGACAAAAAAGTGACTAGATGGAGAGCTGGGGGAGTGATGGCCACAGAGGAGGGACAGAAAGGGAAGGAGGCTCAGTCGCAGCTCAGATGCTGGCCCTCCCTAAGGACTTTCTCAGCTACCGACCATTTAGCCCTTCCTTCCTCTGTACTCTGCCTCCTAGGAGAGCTTTCAACCTGTGGTGTTACTTCTCTGTCCTGTAGACTGAGGTTTCCCAAAAGCAAGAGCCAGA